TTTGTTCAACAGTTTTCTACTTTTAATTTTGTTAATCACTTCTTTGATTTTCAGGATTTCTAATTTGGTGTTTAATTGGGGATTTTTAATTTGTTCTTTTTCTAGGATTTTTTTTGTTACATGCCCAATTTATTGATTTGCTCTTTTCTATTTTATTGATGTAAGCATTTGGAGATATGCATTTTCCCTTAAGTACTCTTTTGACTGAATCCCATAAATTTTGGTATATTGTCTCATTATTGTCATTCTCTTTAAAGAAATTATTGTTTCTGTGATTTGTTCTTTGACTCATTCTTTAGGATTACGTTATTTAGTTTCCAATTAACTTTTAACCTATGCTTCCACAGCCCTTTATGAAATGCAATTTTATTACATTATGGTCTGAGAAGGGTGCATTTAATATTTTTGCTGTTCTGCATTTGATTGTGAGGTTTTTATGTCCTAATACATGGTTGACTTTTGTGAAGATGTCATGTACAGCTGAGAAAAAGGTATGTTCCTTTCTATTCCCATTCAGTTTTCTCCACATGTCTATCATATCTAACTTTTCTAAAATTCTATTCATCTCCTTGACTTCCTATTTATTTTATGATTAGATTTACCTAGCTTTGAGAGGGGAAAGTTGAGGGCCCCCACTAGTATAGTACTGTCTATTTCTTTCTGAAATTCATTTAACTTCTCCTGTGAGAATTTGGGTTCTGTGCCATTTGGTGCATATATGTTTAATACTGATATTACTTCATTTATTACTTCATTCATTACTTCATCATTCAAAGGAACTATGGTTCTTTGTGTAGTTTTCCTACTTGTCCCTTTTTTCATTTTTTATTAATTTATTTTGATTTATCAATAACCACTTCCATATGCTTTTGAGTTTAAAATTTTTCTCCCCCTTCCTCCCCACCAGCCTCCCCAAGACAGCGCACAATCTGATATAGGCTATACATTTACATTCATATTAAACATATTTTCACATTAGTGATGTAAGTAAAAATTAAAACCAATAGGAGGAACCATCAGAAAGAGGAAACAAACTCAACAGAAGAGAAAAAAAATAGCAATTCAACTTCCATAGTTCTTTCTTTGGATGTGGATAGCATTTTCCATCACAAGGCCTCTGGAGATGTCTTAGATCCTTGTATTGCCGGGAAGAGGTAAGTTTATCAATATTAGTCATCACACAACATGGCTGTTATTGTGTACAATGTTCTCTTGGTTCTGCTCACTTCACTTAGCATCAGACCATAAAAGTTTTTCCAGGTTTTTCTGAAGTCAACCTGTTCATCATTTCTTATAGCACAATAGTATTCCATCACATTCATATACCACAACTTGCTCAACCATTCCCCAATTGATGGGCATCATCTCAATTTCCAATTCTTTGCCACCACAAAAAGAGCTGCTATGAATATTTTTGTACATGTAGGTCCTTTTCCCATTTGTGTGATCTCTTTGGAATATAGCCCTAGAAGTGCTATTGCTGGGTCAAAGGGTATGAACATTTTTATAGCCCTTTGGGCATAGTTCCAAATTGCTCTACAAAATGGTTGTATCATTTCACAACTCCACCAACAATGCATTAGTGTTCCAATTTTCCCACATCTTCTCCAACATTTATCATTTTCCTGTTTTGTCATGTTGGCCATTCTGATAGGTGTGATGTGGTACCTCAGAGTTCTTTTGATTTGCATTTCTCTAATCAATAGTGATTTAGAGCATTTTTTCGTATGACTATAGATGGCTTTGGTTTCTTCATCTGAGAACTGTCTGTTCATATCCTTTGACCATTTATCAATTGGGGAATGGCTTGTATTCTTATAAACTTGACTTAATTCTCTATATATTTTAGAAATGAGACTCTTATCAGAGAGAATGGTTGTAAAAATTGTTTCTCAATTTTCTACCTTCCTTCTAATCTTAGTTGCATTGGCTTTGTTTGTATAAAAACTTTTCAATTTAATGTAATCAAAATTATCTATTTTGCTTTTCATAATGCTCTCTATCTCCTGTTTGGTCATGAATTCTTCTGTTCTCCATAGATTTGACAGGTAAATTATTCCTTGCTCTCCCAGTTTGCTTATAGTATCGGCCTTTATATCTAAATCATGAATCCATTTTGTCTTTATTTTGGTATATGGTGTAAGATTTTGGTCTATGCCTAGTTTCTGCCATACTCTTTTCCAGTTTTCCCAGCAGTTTTTTTCAAAGAGTGGGTTCTTATCCCAGAACCTGGGGTCTTTGGGTTTATCAAATAATAGATTACTATAGTCATTGACTACTGTGTCTTGCATATTTAACCTATTCCACTGATCCACCACTCTATTTCTTAGCCAGTACCAAGCATTTTTGATGATTACTGCTTTATAATACAATTTAAGATCTGGAATGCCTAGGCCACCTTCCCCTGCATTTCATTTCATTAGTTCTCTTGATATTCTGGACATTTTGTTCTTCCAAATGAATCTTGTTATTATTTTTTCTAACTCTGTAAAATAATTTTTTGGTAGTTTGATTGGTATGGCACTGAATAAGTAAATTAGCTTAGGTAGAATTGTCATTTTAATTATATTAGCTCGGCCTACCCATGAGCAACTGATGTTTTTCCAATTATTTAGATCTGACTTTATTTGCGTGAAAAGTGTTTTGTAATTGTGTTCATATGGTTCCTGGGTTTGTTTCAGGAGGTAGACTCCTAAATATTTTATAATGTCTATAGTAAGTTTAAATGGAATTTCTCTTTCTATCTCTTGCTATTGGGCTTTGTTGGTAATATATAGAAATGCCGATGATTTATGTGGGTTTGTTTTATAGCCTGCAACTTTGCTAAAGTTGTTTATTATTTCAAGTAGTTTTTTGCTTGATTCTCTGGGATTCTCTACCACTTGTCCCTTTTAATGAGGTCTATTTTTGCTTTTGCTTTGTCTGAAATCATGATTGCTACCTCTATTTGTTTTTTACTTCAGCTGAAGCATAATAGATTCTGCTCTACCTCCGTATTTTAACTCTCTGTGTGTCTCTCTGTTTCAAGTGTGTTTCTTATAAACAACACATTGTTGGCTTCTGGTTTTTAATCCATTCTGTTCTCTGCTTTCATTTGTGAGTTCATCCCATTCCCATTCATAGCTAAGATTCCTATGTATTTCCCTCCATCCTATATTCTTCTATTTATCTCCTTTCACTTTTTATCCTGTCCCTCCTCTAAAGTCTGTTTTGCTTCTGACCACTGCATTCTTTTCTCCACCCTCCGTTTTATCACCCCCTCCATTCCCTTCCTGTCCTACTTCCCTTTGGGTAAGATAGATTTCCATTACTAATTCAGTATGTGTATGTCTGTGTATGTGTGTGTTTGTGTGTGTGTGTGTGTGTGTGTGTATATTACATTACATTATATTATATTATATATGTATGTTTGTAGTTTTTCCCTTTTTGAACCAGTTTAAATGTGAATGAGGTTCAAGCATTACTTGCCCCCCACCACTATTTTCTGTCCACTGCAAAAGCTCTTCATTGCATACCTCTTTTATTTGAATTAATTTTCCCCATTCTTCCTCTCCCTTCTCCTTTCTCTCAGGGAATCCCTCTTTCTTTAGTATTTTTCATGCCTCTTTTCCCAGGGTGTTAATTATCTTCTCATATCTTTTTTCCTTTGCTTTCATTTCTTGCCTGTTTTCCCTCTACCACTCTTATTTGATTTTGAAACACTTATTTAAGCTCTTCCAGGAATTCTTGTTGAGTTTATGTCCCATTCATTTTTTTCTTCCTTTGAGGCTTTACCTGTAGCTGTTTGACTTCATTGTCTTCTTCTGATTTTATGTCTTGATCTTCCCTATACCATAGTAGCTTTTTATAAAAAACTACCATGGTAGCTTTTTACAGTTAGATTCTTTTGTTGTTGTTGATGATGATGATGATGATGATGGCTCATTTTCCCATCCTATATCTTGATTTGGAACATTATGTTAATGTTGGGCTGTATTCCTCGTGTGTTTATGGGGTGGGGGGAAGGAGAGTTGAAGTGTTCACCATCTTGGCTCCCTATATATTTTAAAAGAAAATAAATTTATGTATAATAAATTTGCAGTTTCATGCATAATCTTTTTTTCTGTTCTATTTTGCACATGCAATCTCTCATTTTACTTGATTTTTGTTAAATTCATTATAAAAATTAAAAATATAATCTCTTCCAGGGCCAGAATTAGTTTATTTTTTGTTTTCTATGCCAGTACTTTGCATACAGTAGGCATATAATAAATGTTTGTTGAATTTAATCCTGATTGTCTGATTGATACTGTGGTGGAATAAAAGTAGAAGCAACAGGGGCAGCTAGGTGGCACAGTGGATAGAGCACCAGCCCTGAAGTCAGGAGGACCTGAGTTCAAATCCGACCTCAGACCAAACACTTGACACTTAATAGCTGTGTGACCCTGGGCAAGTCACTTAACCCCAATTGCAACAGGAAGAGTAGCAGAGGTAGAGAAAAATACAGCAGTGAGTGTAGCTATTCCCTCCCCCCGCTTTGGTACATTATTGATGGCCAGATGAGTTTCTGTTTGAGAAGGGTATGGGGAAAAAAGATGTTGTATGTCCCATATACACCTCCCCACAAAGATCTTCATGATATTGAACAGGTTACCAATGAGTACTCATGAAGCATTTTCCAGAATCTCCAAGGACTTGTTTTATCTCCTTCACTGTAACATAGATGCAGTATATGGACCTTTTTAAAGGTCTTACTTGTTTCTATTTACATTTACTTTCTACTAAATGTTGTAGGCAGTCTTGTGGAATCTTCTTGAAAGGATAAACACAGTGGCTTAAATATAAGAGTAGAAACTAAGATGCATGATATAAAAATCAGTAAACTGATTTCATATCCATACTGCTATAAAATCCCTCTGCATGTCTCAAATTATACAGCCTTTGATAAAGGACACAGCCTAGAAAGTATAATCACCACATAGTTCTATTTATTATCAACATTATGACAATTTTGAAACAAAAGGTACACAATGTAAATATTTTAGGACAAAATCAATGGTATTTACATTATAAGTAATTTTATTAAAGGTTATGCTTGTTAAACCTCTTTTAGCTCTTTTTAAAAACATTGGTAAATATTTAACCATGAAAAAAGTCTTTGAAAATAATTTTTAAAATATAAACCATGCCTGGTAAAATTCTTTAACAATTTGCTTGAGATAGAGGTAGGGAAAGGAGGGATATTGACAAGAGATTTATAGTTAAGTTTATAGGCAGTTGTCTGTGGCAGAGCTATTTATCACTATAATTGCACACACAAATTTGTAACTGGTAGGCATGGAGGTTGTACTGCTTTTTCTTAAGGGTCAAATATTAAGATGATGAACTTGTAAAATGCTTTTAAAGATAAGTTTCATGTAAAAAAAGGTGACATGAAGAGAAAGAAATGATGAACTATTAACATGTAGCATTTAAAATAATAAATACATACACTATTTACAACAATTGGGAATGCATGAAGGACAATAACTTTTTTGATTTAGAAAGTATTTTTTTACAAACACTTATTTTTCTCTTATTTGTTCTTCCAACTATAATCTACAAATCATTTAACAATGAAGGTTTTTTAATCAGAATTTTGAAACATCAAGATAATCAAATCTGTGTGCCATCAAGAATTTTTAAATATAAAAAAGTTATAATTCACTACTGCATTTATATCTTAACTAATTGACTATTAGTCTCATCTTCGGATCTGCTTATAATGTTGAAAAACATAGGCTCAATCATTTGACTCTGTGATAGTAATTTTCTCTACCATAGTAGACAGATTTTCAGACTCTAGATCGTCTTTGCTGTTATCTGAACTTTCTGATGAGATATAGCAACCAGAATCTCTTGGACAGTCATTGAGCTGTGACTTGTTAAAAGTGATGTCTGGCTTTAAAGATAGAGATGCAGGTTCACTTTCTTCCTCTAAAGCTGTAAATAGAGGAAAAGACAAGAATTAGACAAAGTTGAGCCTTTGGTGGGACTCAGGGTTGGGCTGATCATTATTTTGAGTTATTCTTACTTAATCTCTATTAAAAAGGGAGATTGCAGGAAGCAAACAATGCATTTAATTAACACAAAAGGTTCTTTTACAGAAAGTGCAGATTTTTGTCCTGATTCACACATTTACAATCCTGAATATAGTACAAACTATGTGAGGGTGATTTTGGCTTATGCTTTTCATTATTGCAAAACGTTACAAAACTATGTAAATAAATGTCGTCAAAAAGCTTTAGATGTGTTATCTCCTTGAGTTTATCAACCTTGTAAAACAGTTACTACAAATATTATTATTGTTTTTATTTTACACATGAGGAAATTGAGATGCAGAAAGATTAAATGAAGTGACCACAGTCATATAGATAGTACTGGAGGCCAAATTAGAAACCAGATCTTCTTGACTCCAAATCCAGCTCCGTAGCTCCTAAGCCAAAGAAGGCAGGTTATACACTGTGCCTGATTGCTTATCCAGATGCCTCAGCCTATCACCAGAGAAAGGCATTTGTAGTTTGAAATGTATAACCCAGATCAATAGTGAGCTTTGAGAATAAGTCCATTGTTAATTTTGCAGCTCTAAAGCGCGCACACACACACACACACACACACACACATATACACAAAAGCATATATATATATATATGTATTACAATAACTTGTAGAACAGCAGGAATTTATTAAATAATATAGAATTTTAAAACTTAATATGCTTCTGTCAGTTACCACTCAGAACTGAATAATCCTAGGAAAGTTTGTTTCCTTTGCCTTTATACTGCAGTGGAGAGAATCAAAAGAAGTTAAAGAGCAAATTGAATGTGGCATTATTATGTCATATTTTACAGGGCAAATTTTGATTTTCCTTTTCCAAAGTCTTTCCATCACAGCAGTGTCCTGTACTTGATTGATATGCATGTCACCATCAATTTTAGGACATGTGCTTTGGGAGATTTTTTTCAGGGAAAGTGATGGCTTCACATTACTCTATTGAAAGTTTTCTCTATCTGTTTTTCATTCTGGCTACCTGTGCTAAACACCATTCTTTACTAACAATAAGAACTAACAATAAGAACAATAATTTATATAGCAAGATCATATATGTGCTTAATATAATCAAATTTAACCAATTTAATTCAAAGACCCCTAGTTATATATGTGTATTTTAAAATTTTCTTTTTAATAATGTATTTAACAAACAGCTGCATTTTTTAAAAGATCTACTAAGATTTTAAAAATCTGCTAATGTTTTTTCTAATGTTTTCTAAAGCTCTGAAATTAATTAATTAGGAAAACATTTATTGAATACTTGTTTTACATAAAACATTATGCTAAGCACTCAAAACCAAACATTTAGAAGATTTTTATTCTTGTCAAGGAAATGGTTTCCAAATGGAAACAATTTGAGTATAATTACAATGCAGTGTATGAAAAAATGTAACTATACCATAAAAATTCAGGCATTTTTGTTGCTCTGACAATGCATGGGATTCAAATCTATTAGGCCTGGTCCCTTAGTCTCTGAAGTGTTAACTAAGATTATCAACCTGCATTCTTTAAGATTTAAAGTTAGATTTTTAAATTGTATAGCCTTTAAAAAAGGATAGGCTCAAGGTTATAAGCTATATTTATATGTGTGTGAATATATACACACATACATATATGTAAAATATATATATAAACATACACACATATACTCAGAATTATATATATGCACACATACATATACACATACATATATTTGAAGGAAGCAGGCCGGGTGGAGACTATAGTGAAAGAATCCTCACCCTTTCCAAGCCTTCAGAGTTCGCATAGAATCCTGAATGGGAAATCATAGGTGCCCTCTGGTTTCCGAGTCTACCACTGTTACTAGGGTTTGGGGGGGTGTGCATATACTTTCACATGTAACTGTATGTGTATATTTGTACCTGCATGTATAGGTGTATAGATGCATGTCTACCTACTTACGCATACATGCTACGTGCATGCATGCATGCATACACACACACTTCTTCAAACCCTAGTAACAGTGGCAGACTGGGTCACCAGAGGGCACAGTCAGAGAGGCAAAGTTGATATGTCTCAAGTCCCTCCTTTGTCTTATTCATCCTCCTGAGTTTGCCAACGTGATTTTTTCTACAACATAGGTCTAACCATGTCATACCCTTACTCCAGGGTTCTTTCATCTCTGGGATCAAATATAAACTTTTTTTTTAAAGATCTTCACAATCTTTCCAGTCTTCTTTCATATTACTCTGCTCCCCCCATTCTATAGGCTTTTCCTCACATTGCATCTTTGGTCTTTGTGACTTTGTATTAGCTGTCTCCCATTCCTAGAATGCACTCCTCACCCACCCCGGCCCTTATATTTCTCTCCCTCTTAGAATTTCTGGTTTAGGGTCTTGACTCAACTCAAATACCCCCTTGATAGGGAGGCCCTTCTTGGTCTACCAGAAGCTGGCACCTTCCGTGCTAAGGTTCCTTTGATTCTTGTGTAACGTGGGCTTCTCTGGGAATGCCCAGTTCTCCTAACACAGACGCACCATTGAGGGACGTTTTGATCATATCCAGTCTGTCTGATGTAGCAGCGCCTGCCACATTGAGGGGTGGGGGTTGGGGGAGAGGTAGCCTCTTTGATTGGCTGCCTGTATAGCTAAGATTAGAGGCTGAGCCATTCCCTCTCCACTAGGATCAGTCACTCTTATTGGCTGTTTGCAAATGGCAGTGATCCCAGATCCCAAAGATTGAAACATGAACTGCCAGTCAAAGAAGGCTACTCCATCCATGGGGTAGAGGACACAATGGGCTCTATGTGAGAACTGGGCATTCCCAGAGAAGTCTGGGTTACACAACTTGGTATTTATCTTGCATATGTTTATTTATGCACATGTTGCCTCCCCCATTAGAATGTAAGCTCCTTAAAGTCTAGGTCTATTTTTGCATTTTCTTTGTATCTCTAATGCTCAGCATAATGCCTGGCAAGTGTTGTTATTCAGCCATAAAGGACTTTTCGTGATCCCATCTGGAGTTTTCTTGGCAAAGATACTGGAGTGGTTTGCCATTTCCTTCTCCAGCTCATTTTACAGATGAGGAACTAATGCAAACAGGGTTAAGTGACTTGCCCAGGGTCAAACAGCTAGCAAGTGCCTGAGACAGGATTTGAACTTAGGAAGATGAGTCTTCTTGACTCCGAGCATTTATCCACTGAGCCTCCCAATGTTAAATAAATGCTGACTGAGTGATTTACTTATCGGTTGTCAGCTAGGACTTAAACCTAAGTCTCCTGACTCCAGGTGCAGCTCTTTTTCCACTACACTACACTACCTGAATATAGCCCTAATTGTAACATAACAAGAATTTTTATGAGATGATTTTAGTGATACTAAAGCAAGTAAGTTATTCGCCAGTTTAGATGAAAAACTGCTATTAATGAGCAGTATAAAATAAACCACACACTGTCTATTCTACAATCAACTTTGAGTATCATTGGATACCCAAATACTCTCTCTCTTTTTTTTCCCCCTTTTCATGAGGCAATCGGGAATAAGTGATTTGCCCAGGGTCACAAAGCTAGTGAGTATCATGTGCCTGAGGCTGCATTTGAACTCAGATCCTCCCGACTCCAGGGCCAGTGCTCTATCCACTGGACCACCTAGCTGCCCCTCCCAAATTCTCTATTAACCTTGCCTAGCCACCTTGATGAGATGTGAGATAGCCAATGAATAAAGTTTGTTAATATCCATTCTATACAAATGCAAAATTCAGAATTTCACACTTCATATTGGCTGTGGGGGTTTGTTGACAGATGTCTTCCTCTCTTCCAGCTAAATCCTTGCTAGTCATCCTAATGAAATATTTTTCTGCCATTTCCTAAAACTTCAGTTATCATCAAGGCCAAAAACGTCTGTTCAACTCTGTTTTGAATGAACCAAAGATGTTCTTATAACCAACCAACAGTAAAAGAAGAATGTCCACTGAACTATTCAACTGTCAGATAAAATAGATGAACGAAATCTTGAGCCATATTTCCCCTAATTCTTTATTTTTAACTTTTGACTTTAGCTTTAAAAATAGCTTCTCAGTTTTATGCAGCCATGTATTCAAGGCCCTTATCACTAAAGTCACACTGAAGGCGTATATTTAATCTTTAGCATAGTAGTAGAAGATATACATAGAGCAAAGTAATAGATAAAAATAAGCCACTGTTGCACAGAGCAGAATCATCAGAACTCATCTTATCAGCAAATGAAAGCCATTCTTTATTTCTTAAACAAAGTGCAATTTTATATAAGACAAATGGTATTTAGTAAGAATGGTCTAATATATAACATACATCTTTTTGACATGTATGTTCCAACAACTTCATATTATGGTTAGACTAAGTATCAAAGAAATGTCAGTTCTTTGGCTTATGTTTCGACCACAAACAGTAGTTAACATTTAATTTTTTTTTGAATTTTTTTTTCTCTTCAACCTTGACTGCATGTGTATTTGTATATTCATGTTAAGATTCATGTATATGGTTTGTGTTTAATAATAAGTTTAGACTTCTCTTTACTGACTTTTTAGAGCAATTATTTAGGGCTTTATGAAATCAACTAAGTTAAGAGTTTCTTATTTTCAAACATAAAAAGCCACTATATTTTGGAAGGAGATCTATTGTTGTTGTTTATAAGAAACAGAATCCTTGTTCAGAAGTCAAAATAGAAAACTAGGTGTGAAATGAAGGTAGTAGTGAAAAGAAAAATGGTCACATAGAATCTATTGCTTTGCACAGGGGAGCTATCATTATAGAGCTTCAAGAGGTCTATGCTATAGGTCCAGGTGCATTTGAGTGAAAACTAATATAGAGATGAATTCGATTTAACAGGGATTTATCAAGTTCCTACTGTGTGCAAAACGCTCTGTTAGATGTTGAGGGAGATGCAAAAGTTTAGATAATAGCCCCTGCCATTGAAGAATTTTAGGATTAAGATACCCACATAGAAAGCTATAAAACACATTATTACCTGAGCTGTGTGTTACAGAAATTCAACATAAAGCATTATGTAAGGTTTAAGGTAGAAGTTCATTACCAACTAAGAGGATTTTAAGAGAGAGTTTTGTGGAGAAGATGGCTTATGAGTTGGACTTTAAAGGATGGATAGAAATTTAGCAGGTTAAGAAAGAAAGGAAAAAAGTCCAGGGGAAAATGAACAAAAGCGTGAAGGTAATATAAGCACAGGATATGTTTGTGAGGCAACTTTGGACAAGTTAAAAATGAAGATTCCTCATATGTACTCATTTCTACACCACTATGAATCAAGTTATAGCAAAATTTCATTTCTGATGTGTATATTATCTAGATGTGAGATGATAGAACAATATTCAAAAAATTTCCCAAAGTAGAAGGAAACTGTTTTCTTTTTTTCTCTCAAACTCTATTACTTTATTTTATTTTTAATTCATGAAACAAAACAAGCATTTCTATAACATTGTATAATAAAAAAGATATTTGCACATGAAACTGCAAATCTATTACGAACAACTTGCAATTCCTTTTAAATACATAATAAAGTTATCAGGTAAATTTATATTTTTCTTCCTTCTTCCCCCACCCTGCCCTAATAGCTATCATTAGACACAAATAGGTATTTTATATGTGTATGTATAAAATTATTTTATCCATGCTTCTATTTATCAGTTTTTTTCTCTGACTGTACATAGCTTCTTTCTTCATGTGACCTTTATTTTTAATTTGTGTATTTACAATAGTCAAAATGACTTAGTCACTCAAAGTCATTCTTAAAACAATAGTGCTGTTACTGAATACAGTGTTCTCTTGCATCTGTTCACTTCACTCTTCATTATTCTGTGCAAGTCTTTCCGTGCCTTTCTAAGATCATTGAGCTCATCATTTCTTATGGCACAGTAGTATTCCATCACAACCATACATCTCAACTTCTACATCAATTCTCCAATTGATGAGGGACCCTGCAATTTCCAATTCTTTGCCACCACAAAGAGAGCTGCTATAAACATCCCATTCACATTCAAACTTATAATTACTTTTTGTGAATTTCCCTCCATCTTATTTTTACTCATTATTTTCTTTCTCAGGCTCTCTTTTTACCCTATGCTTGTTACCTTATCTTTTCCCCCATCACCCATTCCCTATCTCACCCACCCTTTTCCCCCACCCTCCCAAACCCCAATCCACACACCGTTCCAAAAGTCTCTTCCCCACCCTCTCTCCCCACTCTCCCAAATCCCAATCTACAAACCCCTCTAAAAGTCTCTCTCCCACCTTGTCCCCCAGTTTTCTCACCTCTACATGTTCAGAAAGCTTCTATACCCTTCCAGATGTACACCTTGTTCCCTCTTCAACCAAGATGAGAGTAAGGTTCTAACATGACCAGCCCTCCACCCTCACCTGCTTTCTCTGTTAGTTCTTCCTTTCATGCCCCATTTTAATAATATAATTACTCCCTTTTACCTTTTTCTACTCAATTTTGTTTTTTAGAATCACTGCATCATACACAACTCAGTCCCAACCTTTCAAATTACCTTAGTAATGATGATAATATTAAGAATACTGATAACATTTTCATATATAATAATTAAACAGTTCAACCTTAATGAGTACCTTATAATTAGTCTTTAATATTCCTTATTTTTATATTGAATTTGCCATTGAATTTTGGTCTTTTTGTTACAAATACACGAAAATCTTTCAGTTCATCAAATGTCCACTTTTTTCCCCCATTCAGGATTATACTCAAGTTTACTGGGTAAGTTATTTTTGGATGCAACCCAAACTCTTTTGTTCAGGAAACTATATTTTCAAAATTTCCTTTCATTCTTTTAATGTTTTCTGTGTTAGATAACAAGAGCACTTGGAAACAGTATGTAACTATATTCGTAAACCCCCACAGCCAATATGAAGAATGAATTCTGAGGCCTAATTGAATACAATTATTCATTGTTTTCCATTGCATTTTATTATTTATATAATCCAAATCTCTCTACATAAGGAAACTGTGACCTAGAAAATTGAAATGATTCACACAGGGAGTAAACTGCAAAGGCAGGGTGAAAAGGAAAGAAAAGAAATGTATAATGACTTTCTGTAGTGCCATTGAAATACTGAACCATGAAAAAATAGCGACTTAATATTTTTTGGGCAGATGGAAGGACAATGGTCATCGATAAGTTTTAGAGTATAATGAATTAGTGATATGTAAACACAATCAGCAAAAAATATAGTTGCATATTTTTGCTATGGCATGTCTTTGTATGTTTGGATTTTAGGGGAAAGATTAATGGGTACGATTCTTGTGAAGACAGTTCTGACTTTATGTGTAATGATTTCCCCTTTACCTTGAGATGGTTATCTTTTTCAGCTAAATAAAACTATGGTAACTTACTTTCGTCATCAAATAGATTTTCAGTTGCTGATAGCAACCTCATCCTGTCTTCTGGGTTTTCAATGTTCAGTTCAATCAAATGACTTTCCTTTAGATCTTTTAAATCTTCCAGGGTTTCATAACCATTTAGCAAAAGTGTTGAAGTATATTCCTAGACAAAAAAAATAATAATTTAACTATATATGCTTTTGTATGTGTATGTACACACCTCAGTTATAAAGTGTCACACCTCTTATCCATAGAACATGCAGAATCTGATTATAGACTGTATAAAAATGATTTCTTGGGCTTTGGTAAGAGCCATAAAGCTCATACCCAAAGGAGTGTTTTTCCTCCCCAACTCATCCCAGAGTGTTTTGCCAGTCACTACCCCTAGAAGAGTAATGGAAGAAAGTCAACTCTAGGAGAGGGTGAGTAAGCAGAATAGTGGTCCACTGGAAGTTAGAGGAAGAAGAGGGAATGAGCTATATGATTGCTTCTGAAGTGAATTGCTTCCTAGGGGCCTATATTACTGTTTCTTCACCAGGCTTTCCATGAAATTAAATTTTCAGGTCAATTCAGTGAACATTTATTAAGCACCCACTATGTGCCAGGACTGTACTAAATCCTGGGATTTCTGATTATAGCTCTGCCTTGTAGTCTCATGTAGCTTCATTTTCCAAAGCCAGATCAAGACCCAAAGGTGTCAGTAAGGGTGAAGTCCATTTTCCTTTCATCCTTTTTATGTGAACATTCAATTTGTAGATCGTAATTCATAGGAGATCTGAGGTGAATACAACACATTTTATGATGTGTATAGGATCCTAAGGGATAAATTCAATTACTTCATTTTGGATGTTGTTCTTTTGGGGCAACAATTGTATAAAGTCAATAATATGACTCAGGTTGAAGAACTCAGATCTATTATTTCTTGTACCAAATGAGATTTTATAACTGTCCCCTGCACTTCTATGACACAGGGAGTGTTTTTTGGTCAAAAGGGAAGTGGTAGAGATGATAGATACCAAGTAGACTTATCAGAAACAATTGTATATTGCAAAAATATAGAAAATATATGAATATAAAAATCCTATAAATGTGTAGCAAATATCATAGAGATTTGGAGTGAGGTTAGCTGTTTTTAATAATGACTAGTAAACTCTCAACTTGGATTTTAATAGGATTAGAGAATTTAAGAGTTCTCTGTCAGATTAACAGAACTTTATTTTAAGAGACATTAATGGCATCTGAAAATCTAGAAGTGAGAATGATGAGTGCAAGCTCTAATACACAGACTTGTTTATCTAAAAATTCAAAAGATTAGAAAAAGTGAAAAGATGATATGTAAAATAAATATTTTAAAGTTTTTATGCTTCATTGTTAAACCTATTTGTAACTTTATATCGGCTATTTTAATTCAAACAGTAAACACTTATAAAATCTAATATTAGAAAGTTTCATTTAATTTATCACTCTATGCTTGATCAGCATGGAGGGATAATTCCATTATAAGTTTAATCATGGAAGATTTTTACATCTGTGCATCAATTTGAGTATCTATTTGAAGAATTTTTCTTGGTTTGGGGAACTAAGTCTGAAATTTACTCTCCCTTTCCAATTCATTTCTGTTCAAATTTTAATAGGCAAGAAATTTTATTCAATTTGGATTTGGTGAATTATAAATAGCACAGTGCCTGACACATGATAGGCACTTAATAAATGCTTGTTGGCTGACTGGCTTATTGACTAATTAGATGAAAACTGGGCTTTGATACATTTTTTATTATGAACTATTTTATGATTAGAATGAGCCTGTGTCCTTCCCTTCTAGGCAAGAAATGAATAACAGCAGTAAAGGAGCTAAGTTTCAATCTAATAAATATGCCTTGTTTAGATAGGAATATAGCTCTGTTTCCATGTAGCAGAACATTAGATTGTGGGTGTGGCAATTGTAAAGGTTCAAGAGACATAGTTTCTGGATAATTTAATCATTTTATTACTAAAGCCAGCACATTATTAATAAAAGGATGGTCATCTGGCTGTCTCTTTTAGACCAAACGCTGCCCTAATGGCAGTGAGCTCACAGTTTATATGCCCTTCAAAGAGTAGTTGTGCCTGGGGGTGCCAATCAACTCTGATTGATTGGTGGGCTATATTAAAATGAGAGTATTGGGTTACTTGATTTAGGTCACCCAAATCTTGGTCAAAGAGACATCAATTTCCATATTACATTTCTTGACAATAGGGAGAACCAGCATTTTTCCCAGAACTTTCTGAGCAAACACAATGACCAGGAATATACTCCTTAGCCCAAACTTAGAATTTCTTTTACTGTCTGATTAGATCTTGGCCTAGGTAAGCTTTTAAGATAAATTTCCCACACTTCTGGTTGAGGAAGTAGAAAAGGGGAAAAATTTTGGTCCTAATACAATAATTAGTTATTAAATACAAGAGAAAAATATTTATTTCTCACATGGAAAATTAACTAAAATAGTGAACCTCATCAGATTTATGCTTCCTTACACCAGGATGATTTTTCTAGTAGTTTATCCAATAATAACTTTCATTGTTAAAAAGGCCTCAGCCAGGGTCATTTTATTTAAAAGCCCTTTTAACATGGCAATTTCCTGAATAGTAACACATATAGATTAAGAATGTAACTGTAGCAATTATTATATTTCCTTAAAAATAATGGAAGCCTAAATACATATGTAAGTAATGGAGGAATAACCAATAAAGAAGGATAGGTGAGAGAGAGAGGAGGAATAATGGAATTACAAGCATCAGTTTTGGCATGGAATAAGATGGAGTTTTTGATGAGAAAACCAAGTATATGTGATTCAACCATCACGTACTCTAATGACGTTCTCTCTCTCTCTCTCTCTCTCTCTCCTCTTCCTTCCTCTCTCCCTCCCTTCCTCTCTCCATTCAAATTTTTGAACTCTGCCTTCTGGTAGAACTATCCTCATTGGTGGGTTAGTGAATAAAATTTCACCTAACCCATTGTGCTTAGTTGGTCTCACATCTCAGGCTATACTTCCAACCATCTACCATTCACCAAGAAATCATGGTTTATGGGGGCATTTTGCCATTTGCTTTCATTTATCCTCCTTCCCCTTCTCACTCCTGCTTTCCACCTATTATTCTTGGTCTGTTAACAGTAATCAAATCAATACTATCATTGATACTAGAGAGGGCATGAGTTTAATCCCTTATTAGAATATGAATTCGTTGAGGTCAGTGCCTGTTTCACTTTTGAATTTGTGTTGTCAGTACCTAGCACAACATGAGTACATAGTAGGTGCTTCGAAAATTCTCTTCACAGAAACGCTTAAGATAAAGGCCATAAAGTTAGCTTTCCTAGACATCACTAAGTGGTGATGTAATTACGTGTATTTCACTCAACCTCTTTGAACTGAGTCAGTTTTTACCATTTGTAAAATTACTTGTACTACTTTCCTTCCAGGATTGTTATGAAGCAAGACCTTTGTAAAAACACAGTGTATTATATACATGTAAGCAATGATTATTATTATATTGAATTATATATGCATATTATATTGAATTATACTTTATTTAATTCAGCATTTATTAAGCACCAAATATTTGTCAGCTATTATGTTAGTGGCTGGGGATATTATGATAATATGAATTACTGTACATTAACTTCCTACTTTTATTTGCTTATAATTTCATAATAAGTAAAAGGAAGTAAGAGGAGTAAACTTGCTAAAATCAGAAAAATCTCATGTGGGAAAATGTAAAAATAAGCAGTACTTCATAGTTTCAAAAAGAAAAAACGAGAAGTAGTTGAATCAAATTTAGAAAAGTAGTAGAATTAAGATAGTAGAATAAAAATTTAGTTTTCAAGAGAAAACTTTATTACCAGAACCTGAAAGGTCAATAAAGGCCATTTCAGGCAGTTTATTGTAACAGAAAGAATACTGAAAGAGGGCGAAGAGATAAACCTGAGTCAGAATCTAAGGAGTATTAAGGCTGTCTGGTCTAAAGCAAATCACTTCCTCAGCGAGTTTTCATTTGGAAGATGAAGTGATTAGACGAGATGACTTTTAAGGTCTCAGCCAGCTTTAACGTACTAAGAGCTGCATTTTTTCATTTACCTACACTAATTCTAATAACTTTTCTATTTAATAGATAACAAAATAGCAAAGGCTACTCAATTCAGTGCTAGTTGCCCTCTTTTTAGGGGATAAATTGTATAAATTCAGTAGACATGACAAGTTGAAGACTGAAGACAAGAGGTGAATACACAAGAAAGAAACAAGAAAATTTACTAATTTCTGGGGTAAAATAATTGCAAAGGCATATCCCAAGTTGTGACTGCTGTTATTGAATATTAAGCATATCTGAGAGTTGTAAGTTTACATATATCTAAGATACAGAAGACACAAATATGACTATTTAGTATAAAATATAGTTAAAAGGAAGTAGCAGGAAGCAAGAATTCTGAAAATAACAAGGTAGTTTAGAGAAAGCAATGGATAACAAATGGATAACAATTGTTTCCATATAATGTTAAGAGACCTAGGGAAGGTACCCTGCATGTTGAGTGGACCCTTTGTGGAGAATTTAGAGGGAGAGATAGAGAAGAATTACCAAGGATGAAAAGTGGATGGATTGAGACCTACAAAATTGGAAAAAATACCCATATTGTTGGGATCATAGATCCATCAAAGAAATATCTACCTCATAATGTATACAAATTGAAATAAAATATAAATATTTGTATATATATAGTGATTTGTAAATCTTATCCTCATCAAGAAATGTCAGTTATTCTTAATAACATTTGCCTTTATATACTCTCTCAGCCTTTTATCCTAAGTATTTGTGATGTTCAGCAGTTCCTCTGGAGTCACTCTATCTTCTATCAGTATTTATCCCAGAAATATCACAGTAAGTGCCACTTATGGAAAACAAATACTTACTTTGCATTTGATGTATTTCTTAAGATACACACACACATATGTATCTGCCAAATTGAATCAGTATTTAGAGTTTGACTTCATAATGCTTAAACAAGTAAGGATCTGAATTGGCATGAATAGACTTTTCATGGCAATGTACTCACTAGGAAACCAAAAATGAATATGGTGTTTTTTGCTGATTATAGACAGTACAGATTGACAGTAACTAATTGTGATCTGAATCACCTGATTTAGGTTAAATTCAGCAGTTGCTCATAGAGATGAAACCTCCATGTTATCCATACACAAAGAAAACCAAATGAAAATGTATTTACTGACCTGAAGAAGAATCCTCTCTAGGAATTCCTGCACAGTTTGCGGTTTGGCCCTCTTACTCTTTTGGTGTGCTTTTATCTTCTTTGGCGTGGCTTCCTCTTCCAAGATTATGTCCACGTAAATGAATTTGAAATTGCCCACTTTTTTATTTAGCATTCCTGTCCACATACCCATTGGGGTTTTGCAGATAATGTCTATGATGTCTCCTTTCTAGAAGTAAAGAAAATCTTTAAATCAGTTTAAACAACTCTGATGCTGTGAGTTATCATTTATTTCATTATAGAGTAGAAGCTGAGGCAGTAACAATGAAATCTGAAGGGAACCAAGAGTGACAGAAGAGAGCCTAAGGGGAAATTTTGGGGAGGTGATGGTAGGGTGGTATCATCCAATAAACATAGTTGTTTCTTTTGTTCCCACAAGACCTATGGAAAAAGTTTTACTATAAGAATGTTTATGATAACAGCCAACAAAGATCTGTCTTGAATGTGTGTATGTATGTAGGGGTGTGTGTGTGTGTGTGTGTGTGTGTGTGTGTGTGCGTGTGTGTGTGGCAAATACAGGCACAGTGCATATAGTAAGAGGTAGAGTAATATCAATAGCTTTTTCTTTCATAAAGTAAAACACTGGAAATAAATTTCTTGAATTTTTTTCATTTCAAAATCAGATATCTATAAAAAAAACATGTCCTATGATGCAGAAGGGCTTAGGGCTCATTGATAACCTATAATATGTGTCAGTAGCAGCAGTGAGGAAAATTAAAATGGTTTCAGCACATCTTCCTGTGATCTTAGACTAGTCACTGAATTTCTGATCCTCAGTTTTCTCATCTGTAAAATAAGAATAATATCTCTAGTAACTATCTCACAGTGCTATTATGAAGTTCAAATGAGATAGTCTATGGAAGTGCTTTGAAAGCCTTAAAGGCATTATATATGTTAGTTATTATTATTACTGATAACTTTCTGATGTCTGATGTTTATCTCCTTGCATATGTAGCAGCTCACCCAATGTTTTATATGAAGTTCCTCACACTGTAGTACTGGGTTTCCCCTCAGAGGAAAATTTCACCTTCTTCTCTCCAAGTTGCTCCTGATCATATGTGTTTTTGGTGGTGAGAGGGGCATATGTTGTTATGCCAGTGTTTCGAGTTCACCTAGTTCAATCTTTCCCAACTGGAAAAGAAAAATTCAGACCATCTAAACACTTTCAATTCATCATATGCAAATAGAATGGTTGCATGGAATGAATAAAATATATAAATAATATGATGAATATTAAGTATCAGCCATATTACTCAATGCTTAACTTAGTGCATATGGCATTAGAAGCATTTCAGTGAAGATCAAGTTGAAGTGATAAATGTTAAATGATGAAATTTATCCAACTGTCCCAATCTGAATATGAGAGGGAAAAAACTTGTAAAACTCTCATCTAGGAATCTGATTGACTCATAGTTAAAACTGTTTAATAGGCATGGCATACTCCACTGAAATAGATTTTTAAAAATGATAAAGGGAATAGGTTACTACATAAATATAGAGACAAATTTAACTTAGACTGCCCTCCTATAGAATTTACTAAGTTCCCTACCTGAGACGTTTTTAATTAGAGGAGTAGGGGTCAGACTTATAATTTCATTGCTATGTGAAAGTCCTGGGTAAAGAAACTCTCTTTACCAATGTAAGTCAGTGATTCTCCTGCAACTTAGTCTTAGATAGTTGCCTAGAGCACTGAGAGGTTAAAAAATTTAATGTAGTCTGTATGTGGCAGAGGTGGCCCTTGAATCCAGATCTTTCTGGCTTTGAGGGAGGTGTACTTTATATATAGTGAGTTCTGCTAAAACATTTGTTTTGAAAACAGGAAATTGTTCCAGTGTGATTGATGTATTAAGGAACCATTTGAGTATAAGTAGAATTTTACATTTGCTTATGCATGGTTTCATCTGTGGGAAACAATAAGAGTGTAAAAAAACTGCACCTCAGTAAATTGATCTGAGGAGGAATACACAAGATGCACGCACATGCAATTCAAACTTCTACCAGACGACTCAATTCACTAAATGTGTTGTCTCACAAGGTTGTGTTTTGCTATTCTTTAACATTTGTGAAATTTTCTGTATTAAAAAAACCCAATCATGCAGCATCCTAACATGTCTAAACATCCTGGTTCAAAAATATCAAGTAGTGCATGCAAAAGGAAAGCTTTAAGTATTGAGAAGAACCTGCATCCTTTCTGATGCCTTCTTTCATAAGCAAACTTCAGAAGTTTTTCAGGGTAAAGTGCCATATTTATTGGCTATCTTCAGGTGCAGTAGGAGCTGTGGGTAGAGAAGAGTTCATCTACATCCATGCACTCCACCCCTCTACCTTCTACTTCCTAACTTTCTACCATTGCCTCTTCTGTGTCCCAATTGTGGCCCACTGAGGCTGTCCTTTCGCCTGTGACCTCCAACTTTGCCAGCCCCAGTCATGAGAATGGGGGTGCAGCCAAACAGGAGTTCAAGGTTGTGGATGCCACCATTACTTATTGTAGTATTTATATATTTCTTAACCATTTAACATGTGTAAAACTATGCTACCATTTTTATTATGTTTCTATCTTTTTTTATGTTTCACTGATGAAAAGTTTGAGTGTTGTGCCCCTAGCTCCATTTTTCTCTTAAGCCCTGTAGTTTTTATTGTGTGATTTAGCATAGCATGGTGATTTTTAGGAGCACATATGTCTTGTTATGGCAGAACTGACTGTATGCATTGCTGCCTCCCACTTGAGATCAGTGGCAGTGTGACTGGTCTCAGGGTGTCTAGTGTCTCTACTCAACTCACCTCCCTCTCCCCACACCCTACTTCACCCAACACACCCCAGGTGACTAGAATGATCTGTCTCTGTGTTATTGAGGGCTGTACTGTTGGGTGGGGAGGATCATCTCTTTTAGAATCCATAAGAATTCTTTAACAATTTGTTCTGTTACCGGCTTATACTTAAATAGAATGAGGCAAAATTAAATGAGGAAGTACACAAGGGCATGAAACGGAAGTGTGCACATCTAACCCAGTGATAAACATTTAGTCTAAAACCATCAGAAGGAACATTTCAGCATAATTAATGGAAAACAAAAGGTATTTCTTAGGTGGGATGTCTGTCTGCCTAATAGCAATCAACTTAAAACAAGCAGAAGGAGCTAAGACAAGTCTAGTTTTGCTTGGTGACCTTTTCCTCAGTTTTTCTGGTATTCTTTCTTGCTCCTTGTTCTTCCAGAGCTGTTTTGAATTTCAATTTCTGTTTGAAATCTTTGTTTTCATTCATTCATTCACTCATCAAATATTGCAGCTATCATGTACAAGGTACGATGCTAAGTATTTCCTTCCTTACTACTTTTTTTTTCTTAACCTCTTTCAAAGTTTAGAATTAGCAGTAGGAACTGGATATTCCCAAGCAGTTAGAGGGGCCTTCAATGTCCAGAGAGTAATTCCCCTCTTCCTCAAGACCCCTTACATCCTTATATTACTGACAAAAGTTATCAATAAATAATACTTAAGACTTTTTAATAATAAGACATCCGAGAAAGTATCATCTGGAAAACCCATTCCTGAGCTTGGATAGACTGCTCCCCACAACACATTTTGTTCAATGTTTTCTGTCCAGCCAGTTCTGCTACATCCAAAGAAACTGGCATTACTATGCCAAACCAGAGTGTGCAGATATAAGCATTATTATAACATTCACAAGAAGAAGATTTTAACATTTCAATTACCTTAATTTTGAGTGAGTCAGTGTCATAGGGACTTGGTGTGAAATCTGTATGTACTCTGGCTCGGCCACAGAACGGTCCTGTGTATGGGACTTCATCATCCAATCTAAAGCTGTCTCTGTTACTTGTGCCATCTGAACAACTTGTGATTCCACCTGATAAAATCAGAGATAATATTTCATATGTAATGCTATAAATATTCTTAACCATCATCTGGGGACAAATTAAAAAGGATCATACTAAGAAATCACCCATAAACTTCTTGTGGCAGTTTTCCCTGACCTATCAACATATCTGCTAACTACAAATTAGCAAATCAACTGTTAACAATTTATATTTCTTCCACTCATCCCTTACCTTTTCTTTTTTCTTGCAACAACCAATCCAAAAGTTTATTCACTTATGTGTGAAGGATTATCGTTCAGAGATTTCCTTGATTAGTTTGATGAGTTTACATGGTGGTCAGCTTTTATTTGGGACTTTTATTCCATTTCATCTAATGGGGATAAAATATAATTGGTTTGGGCCACCATGAATCAACTGTGGATGGACTGGTTGTTGTCTCTGTATTGACATAGTCGTATAGGGACAAAAATTAACTCTCTAGTCTTTGACCTGTGCTCATTTTTTTCTTCCAAGGAAGAGCAAGACTGAAATCAAGAGTTTCTTTTACAGGCTCAACACAAAAGGGTGTTTTTGACTTACAACAGTACATCCGTTCATCTCCAACTAACCTTCAACAGCCCAAGGCAATCACTTCAAAATTCCATGCAAAGACTTATTACCCTTTAAGTACATAAATTATGTCTACCGATCACAAGCTCCTACATTTTTGTCCATGTTCATATATTAGTATATACCAAATAAAAATAAAGGGAATAAATACAAAGTAATTAAGTACAAGGCAGTTAGGGATGAAAGTCAGTAGAAGTTGGAGGGTGGGGATGGGATCTAGAAAAGCTTTGTGTATAAAGTTAGTCAACAAACATTTGTTAAGCACTTTCTATGTACCTGGCGCGATGCTAAGCACCTAGGATACAAAGAAAGGCAAACACATTGTCCAGGTCTGAAAACACACACACACACACACACACACACACACACACACACACACAAAAACCTGACAGTATTAATGAATGAAACAATATGTTAACAACTGGGAGGTGAGGAAGAAGAATAACCTCTTCCAGAAGATGGGATTTAAGCTGAGTCTTAATAAAACCAGGGAAGCTAGGATGCTGATATGAGGAGAGCATGCATTCTGGGCAAAGGGACAACCAATGAAAAGGCAAGGCATCTATAGATGGAGGATCCTGTTCAAGGAATAGCAAGGTCAATATTGCTGTATCTTAGAGAGGAACAAAGTACATCAAAACTGGAAAGGTAAGAGGTCCAGGTTGTGAAGGACTTTTAAAAGCCACAGTGAGGGTTTTATATTTGATTCTGAAGTTTATTGAGTATTTGGGTAACATAGTCAAACCAAACCTATATTTTAGTAAAAATCACTTTGACAGTTAAGTGCATAATAGCCTGGAGTGGACAGAGTCTTGAGGAAGGGAGGCCAACCAGAAGGCAATAGTCCAGATGTGAGGTGATGAAGGTCTGTCCTAGGGTAACAACTGTGTAAGTGGAAAGACAGAGACATATAGGAGAGATATTGTGAAAGTAGAAATGACGGAACATGGTAATAGACTGGCTATGCTTGAGCTGAATCTTTAAAAGAAGAGAGGGATAGTATGAGAAAGAGGTGAGGAGGGAGGACATTTGAGGCAGGGGAACAACCAGTTAAAAGGTGTAGAATTGGAGTGGTATGGGTTATTTTGTATGTTACTTATGCAACAAAACTTTTTGGAGTACTAATTTTCTTTTCTTTTCTTTTTTTTTTTTAGGCAATTGGGGTTAAGTGACTTGCCCAAGGTCATACAGCTAGTAAGTGTCAAGTGTTTTGAACTCAGGTCCTCCTGACTAAAGGGCCAGTGCTCTATCCATTGCACCACCTAGCTGTCCCTGAATATTAATTTTCAAGACAAAATGGTTAAACTTTTGAAACAACACATATGGTCCTTAATCTATCAGGTGTAATTTTTAACAGTATAGACTTGATGTAGAATCAACACATTTTAATTTTTTGTTATTTGTATTACCAAATATGCTAATTAGATAAATAAAATTACCTCTAAATAAAGCCATTAAAAAAATGAACCTCTCAAGATTATCACGTTCAGTACTTCTTACGTGTTCCTTTGAACTTACTGGATGTACTTTGACCACTGTAGATACTGTCCATGGAGTCACTGCCTTTGAGAGGAAATTTCTCAGTGTAGGCTGCAACTCCTGGGTCACTGTTTCTATATGAGTAAGCATCTTCTTCATCTTCTTCATCCTTTGTTTTCAAATATCACAGTGTAAGTACAAAAGAAAGTATTTCTATTGAATATTCTCTCTCTCACACACACACAGCCTATATGCATCAAATAAGTCATATTTTAGCATCAGCATATTTAAGACTATAATAACAGCAGCACAGAACATGACCATCATTAAATACTTAATTAATTTCTGTTCCTAGAAGAAAAATTTAGAGTGCATTTGGGGAAAAAAAACTTTTAGATGGAACCATTGTGAAATTCTACTTAAATCACAATGGTGCACAGTTACAATTTAGCACCAACATATTGTCAAATATATTTTAGAAAGGTAAAATGGATCACAGTCATATCTCTGATGAAACCATATTTGATTGAGCTGCTTCATTTTTGCTATTAATCTGTTTACCAACACAATTTGTCATTTAGGAATTCAAAAAAAGTTTAATCTTTTCCTAATTGTTTCACCTCAGAGTTATTTGCAATTAAGAAACATTGTTTATCTAAGACTCTTTAAAATTTTTATCCATTACTTGCTACTACTCAGAATCTTAGACTTTTTACAGGAAAAATCTAGTGTTGTGTATTTGAAATTGGGAGAGATGAGCTATTTCAAAATATGTTTCCTTTTTCTTGAAATTATCTCAAGTACTTTCCAGGCATATGCAACTTGTATAAAGCACGTTGACTTTGTGATGTCTATCCAGACATAATTTCATCTTATAGAACATACACATACATATTTTATGTAGACCATTTGAATGTATTCTTTGAGCAGTGGCTGGGTGAGGGATGTTCCTTAGTGCTTTCACCCAATTATGCTTTTACATAGATTGATTGTAGCTATACAGTCATCTGAGTGAAAGGCACTATTAAATACCCAGTCAGCAAAATAGCTCCCGACTCTTAATGCGCATAAAAAATTATGCTCGGGGAGCCTGGAAAATGTATCACAGACTGCAGGTGGTCCCAAAAGCCTTGGCACAGTTTTAAACTATTAAAGCTTAAGTGGAACCAAGGCTTTTGGGATATCCTGTAATAATATTAAGAGAATGCTAATTTCTGTATTCCCTCATCCTCTATTTGTAGTTCCACTTGTGTGCTAGGCCCAGAGCTTTTGTGGTATAATGATAGGCAAGGAAGTCTTCCAGCAAAGTGGAAGAACGAAGAGTAAAATCTGAGCACTGGATTTGGAATCCGTCTCTGAAACTTACTAGCAGCATAGCCAAAGGCAAGATATAGCACTTCTCTGAGCCTCAGTTTTAAAAATCTATAAAATGGACTAATTATACACTGCATAGCTATTGTGAGTGAAGTTTTTTGTAAACCTGGGTGCATTATATAATTTTGGGTTATTATTATATTTATAATCTATCTTGAACAGCTTGCTACCTGGGATGAACACTTTCACTAGTAATTGAGAAACACCTGTTTTGCTCTCGCCTTTACTGTGAGATTTTAAGCAAGGCACTTGGCTTTTCTCAGCCTCAATTACCTTGATAAGCATAATAATAGTTCTCCTGTCTCTCTTACTGGAGACTATAATGAGAAAATAGATGTGAAAGTACTTTATAAAACACAAAGTACTGTAGAAAAAATCATCAATAGTCAAACTGTTGTTTTATAGACTATACTTACCTTGTCCTCAGAAAGGGCTTTGATGTACTTCTTACCAATTTTTTTCTTCATAGTCCAGGAAATAGCCCTCATTTTTTTGCCTAGACTTCTGCCATTATTTGTAGTTTTAGTTGGTTCTTGCCCTCTATCTTCATTTATGTCTTCCTCTTCACATTTCTAAATAGAATTATTATTAAATACCATAATTATAAGCAAAGAACCTTAATCTTAAAGTAATACCTAGAAATTTTAGGTTATGTGTATTAATGTGTATATTTTTATGGATAGTCTCCAGAATTTCAAGCAATAGACTTATTTTCCAATCTATATATTTCAAGTGGTCCAACCATAGTTGTCTGTACAAAATCTCAAAAATTAGAGCTTTAAATATTAACTTAATGGCTTGAATATCACTTGAATGACCTTATAGTCAGAGATTGAAGTTAGCTAATTCTTGGACTGGTCATTTCAACATTTTATGTATTTTAGATGGATGAGTTAAATTCTAGGCAGATTACAAGGTAAGCATGTGTATGTATGTAAGAAGTGGGAGATATTTCTGGAATGAAACTGGAACCTGATATTCATTATGAAAAGGTAGTAAAGATATATGGCTCTTTCTTACATAGCTTGAGATAGTTTTGACATTCATTGATTAAAAAGTGAGGTTCAGCTAAAAACCTATCACAAATCATTGCCATTTCCCCATTACACTAACAAAGGGTGACTCAACAAATGTGTAATGGCACATGTGGTTCCATGAAAATGAATCTTAGAGGTGGAAGGGATGTTAGAGATTGGAGTTTATCATCCTTCCTAGTTTAAGAATTAATTCTACCCTGACAGACGGCTGCTTGTCCTTATTTGAATACCACAGTGGCAGGGATCTTCTCTTTAGAGAGACATCTAGAGAATGACAAGAGGAAGTTTCAAAGACATAATTAGTATCATTGAGAGATTAAAGTTTTCCTTGTGATTTACCCTAAACTGACTGTGTTGCATGTTATAGAGGAGTCAGCAAAATCCAACAAAGTAAACTAATATATCTTACTAATTCTTATATTCTTGATTATACTCTGAAGTTATTCTAATGGAAAATATTCATAGACTCTTTCAAAAGTCCTGGATGAATAATAATAGCAGCTAGCATTTATATAGAGCTCTAAGATTTACATAATGTTTTACAAATATTATCTCATTTTAGACTTACAACAACCCTGATGGGTAGGTGTTATTATTATGTCATTTTATAAATCAGGAAACTGAGGCAAAGAATGGTTAAGTGACTTGCCCAGAGTCACAAATCTAGCAAATGTCAGAAGCCAGATTTAAATTCAGGTTGTCCTGGCTCCAGGTTCAACTGTAGCTCTTAGACAATTTCATACTTGAGAATTCAATTTTTTGTTTTTCAATTCTATGTTTTCTCACAAGTAAGTTATTTAACATCCAATAAAAATATCAGAAAGCAGATATATTAAAACACTGAGGTGTTCATAAGCTTAATCTTCAGAGGTATTTTCTGATATGTTATATCAGAAGTCTATATTTTATATAGAATTTTGGACTTCTCAAACTTCAGACCTGCTACACTTTATTTTAGTAGTAGTAAAGCTATTCTTACTCATTAATTATGTTTTTATCAATAGTTCTTCCTCCTCTGAGTCCCTTTATTGTCTGTACCACTTATTTGGAACTTATATACCAATTTGTAAGTTATCTTTTTACATACGTGTTCTATCTCCACAAATGTATGGTGAGTTCCTTTGAGGGCAGGGACTATGTCTTAGAGCTGGAAATAGGATGGAATGATAGGGCTTTGTTTCAGATTGGGAAAGTAAGAGCTATTGGTGCAATTGTATTCCTGTAAGACAAGAAGGCAGTAGCAGAGCCTGATAGCATAGCAGAGCTGTTAAAGGGTTGGAGCTTTGTGTAGGACCTTGAGAATCATCCAGAGAATTGCTAAGAGAGTTGATCAACTGTAGCTGCTTATCCTTTGGGTCAAGATGGGGAGAGAGCAGAGGCCTGGTAGTACTTGAGCTCTAGCATGGTCTAGGGAAGAAGAGAGGTTCCAGTGAGCAGATGGTGTGTGTGGGGGAAAGAGAGTGGATGTATCTACCATCTCCCACACATGTTGCACCCCACCCAAAACTACGCTGGGCACAATCCCCTTCTCCCTGTGGAAAAGTCTGTTGGATTATCTTCCTTGGGAAGGGTGAATTTGGGGTCAGAGTATTCCAGGGACAAAGAGGTCCCTCTTTCTATTCATTCACTTTGCTTGAATTATCATATCATTATTCAGGAGGGTCTTCATTTGGAATCCAAATGAGGCTTGGCCATATCTCAGAAAATCAAATTTCAGACAAATTGACTAAAAGAGCTCCAGACTAAGGATCAGGAGCCTTGGGTTCTAGTGTCTTCTCTAAAAGTAACTCTGGGTCTCTATATAAAATAAGGGACTTGCACAAGGTAGTCTCTAAGGTTGTCTTTAATTTTAAAAGCTTGGATATTCTCTCATGACTTTTTGAGAGTTTTATGAGAGTTTGCTCCAAGCACTCTTTCAGCCCCTTGACCCAAAGGATCTCTCTCTTCACTATAAGGATACCCATCCAAGTGAGAAGAAACAATTGAATTTAATATGCAGTTACCAAGAATGATTATTTGGAATAGGAAGTTAGAAGTCAACACACTTCTTCTCCTGGGTTGGCCTACCAGAGGTGGGGAACTTGTGGGTTCGAGGCCACATGTGGCCCTCTACGTCCTCAAGTACAGCCCTTTGACTGAATGCAAACTTCACAGAATTAATCCCCTTAATAAAAGGATTTGTTCTGTAAAATTTAGACTCAGTCAAAAGGCCACACCCAAGGACCTAGAAGGCCACATGTGGCCTTGAAGCTATAGGTTCCCAACCCCTGCTAGCCAAAAGCATCCTAAGTGGTTCCCATTGGCTTCACCAATGGGAACTAGTGTTTTGGTATCTCTCTCTCTCTCTCATCATGAAGCAGTGCCCATCCCTTGTCTCCCCTGCCCTCCCACTCTTCCATCTGAGTATACTTTTCATGCTGCTTGCTCTGGGTATAATCTGTGTTCTTTGCCCCAGGTCCAAAAATTCCTAGTATTCTTTTGCAGTATTTCTATCCCATCATCTGGCAAAGTGCCTTGCACTATGCATAGATAATCAATACATATTTAGGTAATTTAAATTATTGTATTTTGCAAAAGCTGCCAGGTTATATTTTAGGTTTTTACACTTTTGATATTGTATCTGTATAACAATCACAATAAATTAAAGAAGTTATTTTTTGGCAAGCGTATTCACCATGTAGAAACATGTATGATTGGAAAAGTAAGTAAGCTGTTCATGAACTGAAAAGGAAAGATAGTAACAGCCTAATTGCTGCATTGGTTTCCACAAAATTTTCCTAGCACCAAGGAGTGTTTAGTATGTTCGGTAGATCCTCTGAGGAGGGTTTACAAAATGGCACAAGCAAAACATACATACAATAAGAAAGTGCAAAGGAATTGTAATATGCACTTGTGGTACATATTAATGAGATTGTGGATCAACAGAAATACTGAATTATACTTACTTCATTTGAATCTGCTGGTTTGGATATGGAATTGTTCCGAAAACGGTCAAAATTCCCAAAGCTGCTGCTGCGCTATAAATGAAAAAGGGAAACGGAAATAAACTTATCAGCTGGACATTTCTTAATTTGGAAAATGATGTAAAATGTACATTATAATCAGCAAGTTTGTCTCTCACAAATACTAGGATGCTTTTTTCCCCTCTAATGGATATAATATTTTTGAATTATAAATATTACTACCACTTAATAAATATGATGAGCAAAATTTATTTATGAGTTTAGCGTTAAAACTTTTAGTTATCTTATTAAAAATCAGGTGATTTATTCTAACTGCCCAATAGGTGGAGTCAATTCTTTGTGAGAGAATTAATGGACAAATAAATTCAGTGTGTAAATACCTCAATCGTGCCCCTCTTTCCTCCATAATTTTTTCAGAGCTTAGGGATTCAGATTTCAGTACTAATTTTGTCAATTCTGCCCACATCTATCAGAGAGGATGTTTTTAATGTGAAGACATTTTGGTAACCGAGAACAGATTTTTAAAGATTGCGTAATTCTCCAAGAGTCCATGCCTTATAATTACTCTAATCTCTTATGTAATTTGGAGATTAATGACCAACTCTACTATTACAGGAACCAAAGTATGGTAGCTATCCACATGTGTCCAAGTAATTTGTGAGAATAGCTCAAGACTGCCATTATCTAATACAAACCACAGGGTGAATCAGAGTAAAACGAGGCAGTTGCCTAAAGTCAAAGAATAAACTAACTTTCCTTTAAGATTTCACCCATATGCATTTGTCTCATTCTACATTAAGCATTGTTTTTTGTTTGTAAGTTTGTTTATTTCACTTCCCACCCCAGGGATTATCTGTTTAGATCTTGCTTCCAACTCATCATTATAAGATCCTAGAACTAGGATATAGATTATAGATTTAAATCTGGAAGGAAATGTAGAAACCATCCCTTACATATACATACACACGTACACACACACACACACAAAGATATATGTATATATGTGTGTGTATGTATATTTAGTATATATACTGTATATGTATTACATGTATACATATATGAATAAAATATGTGTATGTGTGTGTATACACTATACATACTATATATGTATATGTGAATAAAGATATGTATATGTGTGTGTTTAGTATATATACTATATATGTATGAATATGTATATATATGAATAAAGATATATGTGTATATATGTATGTAAATATAGCATATATACTATATACATATGCATATGTATATATACAAATAAAGATATATGTGTGTATATGTATGCATAGTATATATGCTATATATATAAAAATGTATTTATATATGAAGAAGAGAAACACAAATAAATACAAAGTAGTAAAATACAAGCTAGAGAATGAAGGAACAGGGGTTGAAGTTAGGAAAGACTTCGTGTATAAGACAGTCGGCGAACTATGTCTTGAAGGAAGAAAGGGATTATTTGAGGTGGATGTGAAGAGAGATGCCATTGCAGGCATAGGTGATGGCCAGTGCAAAGGAACAGAGATGGGAGACGCTGTGCTATTCCTGAGGAATGGAGACCAGTTTGGCTGGATCACAGAGTGTTCTAGGGAGAGTCATATACAACAAGGATGAAAAAATAAGTGAGGATCAAGTAATGAAGGACCTTAAAAACTAAACAGCAGAGATTATGTTTTATTCCAAAGGCAAAAGGTAATGTTGGTGTTTATTAAGTAGTAAGTTTATTAAGATTGTCAGATGTGTGTGCCGGATGATCACTTTGGTAACAGCAGGCAAAATGGACTGAAGTGAGGAGAGACAAGTCAGGATAACCCGTTAGGAAACTGTTGCAATAATGTAGGTGAAGGGTTGATAAGATTCTGAATTCAAGTGGTGACTAGGTGAAAGGATCAGTTGAGAGATTCGATGGCAGTAGAAAAGTCCAGATTTGGCAACAGATCAGATATGTGAAGTGGAAGAGAGTAAAGAATTGGGGATAATGTGAAAATGACAAACTTCAGAGACTTGAAGGATGAAAGTGCCTTTGAGAAAAATAGGAGAGGTGAGTATGTACAGAATGATAATGAGTTCTGTTTGGGGCATGTTGAGTTTGACATATTTTTGGGACATTCAGTTTGAAATGCTCAATAGGCAATTGATAATGGAGAACTAGAACTCAGGGGAGAAATTGGGTCTGTATCTATAGATCTGTGAGTCATTTGTATGGTGAAGATAGTTAAACCTAGAGAAGTTTAGCTATAGCCAGGCACTGGGGACAGGCAGTCCCTACTCTCAAGGAGCTCCCAATCCAAAGGAGACAACATAAAAACAAATATACGCAATCTATTTACACAGGATAAATTGGAAATAATCAACAGAAAGTAGGCACTAACATTGAAGGGTATCAGGAAAATCTTCTTGTGGAAGGTGGGATTTTAGTTGAGAATTGAAGGAAGCTAGGGAATCCAGGAGGTAGAGATGAGGAAGAAGAGAATTTCAGGCATGAAGAAGAGACAGTGAACATGTCTGGAATCTAGAGATGAAGCATCATGTGTGAGGCACAGAAAGGAGGCTGGTGTGACTCAATCACAATGTGCAGGGGGAAAGTAAAGAGTAAGACCACTGAAAAAGGTGGAAGGGTGCCAGGTTATGAAGGAGTTTTAATACTAAACAGGGGCTTTTGTATTTGATTCTGGTGGTGATAAGGAGCCATTGGCATTTATTGAATAAAGGGTTGAACTTTAGAAAAATAACTTTTGCAGCTGATTGAAGGATGCACTGGTATATGGAGAGACTTGAGGCAGGGAGATCAAACAACAGCCTATGACAGTAGTTATAAGCATAAGCATACAATTATAAGTTGTGAGTTATAAACATAAGTTAATAAGGGCTTACATAAGGGGGTAAGAGGAGACAAGGGGGTATCTTTGAGAGATGTTACAAAGGTAAAACTGACCCATATTCGTAAGAGATTAAGTGGTGGTGGTGGTGAGAGAGTTAAGGAGATGAGAATGAAACCTAGGTTTTCAGCCTGGGTTACTGAGAGGATAGTGGTACTCTCAACAGTGATAGGGAAGTTAGGAAGACAGAAAATTTAGCAGGGAAAATATAAAAAGTTCAGTTTTAGATGTGATGGGTTTAAGATGTCTATGGAACCTCTAATTCAAGATATCCAATAAGCAGTTGGAAATGAAAGTTTGGAGGTTAATAGAGAGTTTGGATAAGTAAATCCAGAATCATCAGCATAAAGGTGATAATTCAATGGAATCAGTGGGAGCTGTTGAGATCACCAAGTGAAATAATTTACAAAGAGAAGAAGGCCCAGGACAGAACCCTTGGAGACATTCACTGTTAGTGGGTGTGACCCAGATGAAGATCCATCAAAGGATATTAGGAAGAAGTGGTCAGACAGGTAGAAGGGGGCAACCAGGATAAAGTCAGGAGGGGAAAAGTATGGGCTCTCAGCAAATAGCCTCAATTCTTTCAATGAAACATTAGGCAAGTTTCTCAGCTGAAAGGATGGGGAGGAGATCCATGAGAAGTTTGAGGATGGAAGAAAAGGTTTGGAAAAGGAAATGTGATGAGTGGGATAGTGAGTCAACTAGGAAGGTACAAAATTATGGTTGAGACAGTTAGTGCCGAATTCAGAATGTGTAACCTCCATTTGTAGTAGACCCAGAACCACTCAGCATGGTTTTGTGATTTCCTCCAGCTTTAGTCAGCAGCCCTATGAAAAGGAGTACATAGTGGTAGGGATCTAAATCTGAGGATCAATGATAGTTTAAGGGGGCAAAGGCTCTAGAATAGAAAACAGTGTAGAGTTGAACTGGATCACCAAGATGGTGAAGGGAGAAGAGTGTAGTCAGTGCAGAGGTGACAGCCTACAGAATAACTCAGGGTTAAGGAATTGGAAGTCATTTTAAGAACAGAGAATAGGATTTGTGGTTGCAAGATGGAGATATGAAATGACAACAGATTGTGATGAGATAAGGGAATTTCGGAGTTAACAAGCATGGAAATGGTACATTTGTGGGTGATGATCAATATCAAGGATATCACAAACCAATGTGAAATGAATAAGTTGAAGAACACGGAGATTAGCGTGTTTGAGGAAATAATACTATAACAACATGGGGTTAGGAGGAGAGAAAGATCAGAAGCCAGGCACTGAATTCATGGAGGAAAGAAGAGGAGTGTCCTGTTAACACTAGCTACCAGAATTTTGATTGGATAGTAAATATTTAATGAACCTCAGAGAAAGAGTGGTTACTACCCCTGGTACTAACTGGTAGTATTTACTCCTTCTCTGAGGTTCATTCTATATTTAGTGAGTGAGGGTCATAGAGAAGATTGTAAGTTACCTTGGGTAGCAAGGAGTATTCCAGCTATCCCACTTTGATCATTGAGTTAGAGGAAATGAGTGAAAAGGCAACTAGTAATGGAAAAGGTAGCCAGGGAAGCTGTGTCAGGAAGAAGCTAAGTCTCAGTGAGAGGTAGAATATAGGAAGAGTGAGAAAAGCAAAGATTTAAAATGAAAGCAAGTTTGTTACCTCTGGACTGGTCATTCCAGAGAGCACAATAGAAGGACTGGGGAGCTTTAAGCTTGGACATGAGGGAAAGGGGAGTTACACCAAAGTGGATGTGAGTAAGTGATTAGGAAGCCGGGGTTAGAGAATGGTGACTGAATAATGACGGTCTAAGGTTCAGAATTATTGAGGTGGGGATGGTATAACTGGGTAGGAGTTTGTTAATCATTAATGAATGAGTTCAGATAGGTAATCAATATCCCTATGGGATTTTCCTCAGGTGGGAATCCTCTCAGGGTATTCTGCAGCTCAGGTGAGGGGATCAGAGTGGGGAGCTTATAGGATGACAATTCTCTCCTTTCTCTGCAGGAAAGCCCGTCCAGGTCAGGAGACCAGCAAAAGGGAGCACTATGGAATCATATTTCCCTCCTTTCCAGGCAGGTAGTTAACAGGCCAGGCCAGTAGATAGATGGGGGAGCTGGATGGAATGGTGTTTCTTCCCTATCTTCTAGAGAGGAAGATGCCAGGAAAAGAGGATACCTTTAGAGG